ATAAGTTGTTTTAGAAGTAAATAGTTTCGTCATGTTTGGTTTATAAAGGCATATTTTGGTACAAATCTTGAAGTGGGCCAACTGAAGTGGGAAGGGGCTAGTATATCTGAATCAAGGATGGTGGTATACTGATAAATAATTCCATTTTTTCAATTACATAAATTTTCGCAAAAAGTATCGACCTTGATAGTTCAAATGACTTCACATGTCACTTCAATTCCTCTCTGAAATACAATTCTAGCTATTCAAAAGTCGAATGAAGTTTTTTTAAACATGGTGGAAATGCATGTCGCCTTCACTGCATTTTTAGTACGTCAAACTGCAGTCTCCTCAAACCAGGAAAAATTATTTAGTAGTAAGACTTATTCACTTTTCTGCCGATATATCACTTCGATAAGTTACGGAACATGCAAACTACTCCTGCCCGAATTGCAAAACCAGCGCAGTCGTTTCTGAAATTACACATTTAGAAGAATGCCGACAGACATACCAACAGACAGACATACCGAGGAAATGAGTGACATAGGTTTTCATCAAACATTTATAAAGAGGCTGAAGTATTTAACAATGTTTAAGGGCGGAACTGTTTGTGCGATTCCAATAAGAAAAGTTGCAGGTTAAAAATGTTTAGTGAATTTTCAACAATGTGCCTATTCATACTGAATGTCATCAAAATATCAGGTAACCAAATAAGTTCGTGCGGTTGCTGTATATCGTACATTGCCATGGATGTTGTTGTTCGATAGCGATTGTTTGTTACCTGTTGTCACTTTAGTATGAATCCTTCTTTTCTCACACACATAAAAAGTTGCTGAAAATCGTTACATACCTAGTTTTAATAATTGAAAATGGCGATGAATAAAACAAAAATGCGAGGTTGTTTACTATATGAGTACAAACTTGGTACAAAAGCTGCAGCGGCGGCACGAAAAATATTTACCGCATTCGGAGATGATGCCGTTAGTGATTGAACAGCAGAAAAGTGGTTCAAAAAATTTTCCTCGGAGACCTCAGTTTGAGCGATGAACCGCGCTCAGGGAGACCAAAAATCATTAACAACGAGGATCTTCGACAGGTTGTGGATGCAAATTCCAGGACAACGTGCCAAGAACTTGCAGAAATGTTCAGAGTGAGTCCTGAAACTATTCGTTTGCATATTCATCAGCTAGGAAAGACGTGGAAGTTAAGCAAATGTGTCCCACATGAACTGACAAATGATAACAAATTAAGTCGTCTTACCGTTTGTTCAGCAAACACTTCACACAACGCTAATGAACCATTTCTTAATCGGTTATTAGACTGCGACGAAAAATGAATCTTGCATTCGAATTCTAAGCTTCTTATCATTGGTTGCCGCCTACTGATTCGGTACCACACACGCCCAAGGCTTCCTTGCACACAAACAAGGTTTTGTTGTGTGTTTGGTGGACAACAACTGGAATTGTCCATTATGAGTTTTTGGAAGGGGGTCAAACTATCACTGCTAACTTGTATTGTGAGCAGCTTCAACGAGTACAAGCAGCACTCATCCAGAAATAGCCTTCTATTCTATGATCAATCCACAGAAAGTGATATTCTTGCAGGATAACGCCAAGCCTCATACCGCAAAAGTGACCCGAGATAAAATTTCTGAACTCGGCTGAAAAACGTTACCGCACCCGCCATAATCTCCCGAGATTTCGCCCAGTGATTATCACCTTTTTTTGTCTCTTGACAACTGTATGAGGCACCGACAGTTCACAACTCGAGATGTTGTAATAAATGCAGTCCGCCAATTTTTTGACTCCAAATCCAGGGAGTTCTACAATACCGGCATACAAAAATAGGTTCCACGTTGGTAAAAGGTCATTGAATGTGATAGTTATTACTTCAACGAATAAATAGTGTCTTATTGTTTCTCAATAAAAATTTATATTTTTCTACTGAAAACTGCAAGAACTTATTTGGTTACCTGATATCATAAAACCTTCTGAATCATATTAGGATTTTTTTCGTCTTTTTTTTTAAAAAAAAGGTCAACATCCTATATTTTGGAAACAAAACCTTTGCGGACCTATGTTAATATAACCACTGCTTCTTCGAATCAGTCAAGGAATTACCTATTGAAATTTGACCAGAAACTTTATTTTCACCCTGTATGGTAATACTTGAACTATTTCATATAGATATATCATACACAAGATTCGCCTATATCCGACGCAAGTATTAGAGGTCACACCACAAGTCACGGAACCATACTGACTCATCGATCATCAAACTACAGGAACTCCCCACACGTGGATGAAATCAAACCAAATGACCCTTCTAACTGACAGACGACGTTAATTATTCCTGATACAAGTTAACGTACTGAAGCATGAACAAAGCGGTGCGTTCATTTGATGTATGTGGATCCTTTTAGTTTTAATCCATTATCCGTCGATCAAGTAGATTTGGGTAACGGTTCGATACAAGCACTGCACGACATCGGTTATATCATTAAAACTATATAGCGCGTCCCAGTTTAAGTAGCCAATCTCACGAATGCATATACAGGGTGTTCAGAAATTGAAGGATACTCCTGCAACTGCAATTAGGCCACGTTATAACCAACCTTCTTGAACCGGATTTGTTTCAGGGCACATACAATTAAGCATTTTATTTCATTTATATCATTTTCCTTAACATGTCAAGAAATCCACAAAAAAACCCACCAAAAGTCTAAACTATAATGAAAGCCCATTTTCACTTCAACTTTGACACCCTGTAGTGTGGAATGCCTCAATTTAATAGCTATAATTGACAGAATTAGATCAATCTACCAAAACAATCATTATCATTATCGTGTGTGTTAGCAATTTCCATTCAGAAATTATTTTTATCATTATCTTTAAATCACAGTAAGATAATTCAATTTTATTGTCGTGATAGTGTAGAATAGATTTTTATAAAAACAAATATCTGAGATATCACATGATTAGACGTCTGTTTCGTGAGAATAGAAGTAATCGAGGTAAATAGTAAACTTTCTGATTTTGTTGCAGTAACTTGAAGATTATCGCTGGATTTTGGTGTTAAAACTTTTAATGTGTAGATAAAAAATTATTTATAACCCTATTTTAGCGAATGAAAAATAGTCGGAAACTAATTTTCCTTCCGCGATACTCTCGTTCAGTAACCCTTTTCACACTTTTTGTTCCTCCAAAATTTATTATAGTGCTCGTAGAAAATACTTTTCTCATTTAAATCGTCAGGAATGAGCTACCTCAATGTAATATTGCTATAAAACTCAGAGATGACATTCTTAGAAAGCCTAATTTTGATTTTGAAAAAATGTACTGGTTATAATTTTAATATTACATTCCTAATCAGATAACCGAGAAGCCTAAGGTATACATTTTCAGATCACTTATTCGAATTTTAAATTTACTAAACTTTTTGAGGATCTGTTGCAATGTTAATCGAGTCAGTAACTACACAACATTGATTTTCTCAAAAACAGCTGGTTCCATCAAAATCAAACAACAATACATATTTTCAGCTGCAGGACATTTTCCGCTATTATTGACAAGTACAAAAATCAGTAATGTTGCATTAAGGCTAATACACCCTAAATGACATAATTTTTTCCATGACTTCTGCGCTGTCAAAAGTTGCTTTAATCATCCAATGTAATTGAAAAGGTATTTATAGAAAATCGATTTCCAGTACCGTGATTCTGAGGGCCTGTATTTGCGTGGAGGAGCCCAGTAGAACATCTTCTATAAGGCCTGGTGACATTATTATGTGAACAAGATACAACACGCTCTGCTTTCACCCATTCGACCAATGACAGACAACGATGGGCTGCTGTTCCGAGCTTTTTGACTACTCGTCAGCATGGTCTGGTCTTGGATCTCAGGAACAAAAGCATAGCAACTATACATTATCAAAAATGTGTGAGATATCGAAATAAGACAGCGAAAAACATCATCTACATTATTTTTACTTCCCACGCCTACTGATGGGGAAGTTATCTAATCGCAAAAAATGTCTAATATGAGATATTATGTTTTCTGAATGTGATATGACATGCACATCATGAAAAACTACTCGTATGTTACTTATTTCGTCGGTCTGTCCGCTGATCTTATAACCGCCTATAAAAATTTTTACACATTATTACTAGTATGGCCAGAACTCAAGAGCCTTGTAGTTTTTGAAAATCGATCCAGTGGCTGCAAAAAACCCTAAAACGAAAATATAAAAATCGCTCAAACTTCGTTTCAAAGGATCCTGATCATTTCAGGTTTAGAAGTAAAAAAACTTGGGATGGCTGTTGTAAGGGGGGTGGTAATTCTAGGCATCTATTGGACATATTTCACACATCGTAGATTGCTCTGAATATTAGCACTGAAAACTGAAAAATATTCTCGGGAAACCGATCGATAGCGGTTGTTACTGACGTCGTGCGTCGACCCTGCTGACTGTTCCATTATGGAATCACACGTATTTCTACTGAGCAGCAGCATACTCTTTTCTGTGCTCTGGTTGCACCACCACACTCACGGTGAGACGTCTGCCCGAGTTAGGTATCAGGGAGAGACGACGTTTCCAGATGTACGACCTGTAGGGACTATTTGTATGAACCTGTTTGCCTGACTTTTTTTCAGAGGGTCTAGTTTGTGCTGAACATATTCCTCTATGTGCATACTGATAAGGGCGATGCGTGCGTAGTGCAGAGTAAACCTACTTGACGCCATTTTCTTAATTTAAAATAATGAAAACGTATATATATACAGGGTTATTACAAAATAATCATCGGGTTTTAAAAATTTATATTTCAGAGAGTATTGCAAATATAATATCAATTGACATATCACTAGAAAAGGAAAATGTTCGAGTTTAAAGCACGTGCTTGCGAACGCCGCTTTACCTCCCTAGGTATCGCCACGAGCTCAGTATACCAAATGGCGACTATGCAACAGAAAGCGTTTTGTGTGTTAGAGTACGCGCGATGTTTATCGGTTGTTACAGTGCAACGTGCATTCTGACGGCGGTATGGAACTGATTCTCCAGGTCATCAGAGCATTCTACGATGGTATCGACAATTCAAGAAGACAGGTACCATTACTAAACGTAAAAGTACCGGAAGACCACGAGTTCCTGACGAAATGGAGGACGCAGTTAGACACAGTCTCACGCGTTCTCCGCGACAGTCCACTAGCAGAGCAGGAAGTGAACTTGGTATTCCCCAGCCAACCGTATGGAAAATTTTTCGGAACCGATTGCGATTCACACCGTACCATCTACAGATGCTACAAAGCTTACGACCTGACGACCACGTAAAGCAACTTGATTTTTCATCTAACACGCAGGAGGCAATGGAAGACCACGAATTTGCTAACTGTCTGGTATTCAGCGATGAAGCGACATTTCATTTAAGTGGAAGGGTGAACCGTCATAACATTTGGATATGGGGCACGGAAAATCCTCATATGATTGTGCAACATGAAAGGGATTCTCCAAAATTGAATGTCTTCTGTGCAATATCCAAAAATAAAGTGTACGGGCCTCTTTTCTTTCATGAAAACACTGTAAACGGTTCATCCTACCTAGATATGTTGCATTTGTGGTTATTTCCGCAACTAACAGAAGATTGTAACAACTTCATATTCCAACAAGATGGAGCTCCGCCTCACTGGCATCATGAGGTGCGACGGTATTTAAACGAGGCACTGCCTCACCGTTGGATTGGCCGAGGTACTGTACAAGATTTGGTATTGTTCGCGTGGCCTCCCAGATCTCCCGACCTTACACCATGCGATTTTTACCTTTGGGGCTACACTAAAGATACGGTCTACATACCACCTCTGCCAACAACATTGGGTCAACTCCGGGAACGCATTACTACTGTTATTAACAATATCGATCGAGACACATTGCAGCGTATATGGGCTGAACTGGACTATCGTTTGGACATAAATATGTCGTGTGACGCAAGGAGCCCACATCGAACATTTGTAATAACATGCTTAAAATCTTGAATATTTTACCTTTCCATTGACATGTCGCTTACTGTTATATCTATAATACCTTCAGAAATATATATTTTTAAAACCCGATGATTCTTGTGTAATAACCCTGTATATACAGGGTATCCGCAAAGTTGGGGTTTTCCTTTACACGACGTGTAGATCTTGAAAACATAAGCAATTTTTCTTAGTACCATATATACACCAATGTCTTAAGGGAACCGAGATAAAGGGCTCTGCAACATCAAAAATATCTGAATACCGTCCTGTAGCCGCGACCCGCGACATCACCGAGTGGTACAAGGTCACTGGCTCAACCCGACGACAGAACTGGGTCGGGGTCAGTGTCTCAGGTCAGTATGCAACCTTCAACCGACAGTTACGGTCACGCGTGTAGAGGTAATCGCGTAGACGATAATCCGTCAACAAGCACTAGAGACGTGGCTAGAGAAGTGCAAGTATCAAAAACTAAAGTGTGGCAAACGCTGCGTGAAGAGGGGCTGTATCCGTTTCACGTCCAACGTGTAGAAGCCCTTCAACCTGACGATTTTCCAGCAAGAGTGCGGTTTTGTGAGTGGTTGTTGCATCAACATGACAATAATCCGGACTTTTTGAAGTGCATATTGGTGACAGACGAATCTACGTTCACACGTAATGGGGTGAATAACTTTCGCAACACTCATGTTTGGTCAGTAGAAAATCCGCACGCTGTCCGTCGGGCACATTTTCAACAAACATTTTCGGTGAATGTTTGGGCTGGCATGGTGAACGGTATGCTCATTGGACCATTTATTCTCCCAAATCGATTGGACGGGATGCAATACCTAGACTTTTTACGCAACATTTTGCCTTCCTTGTTAGAAGATGTGCCATTAAGTGTAAGACAATCAATGTGGTTTCTGCACGATGGTGCACCGCCCCATTTTAGACGCGAAGTGCGTGAGTTTTTGAATGAATTATTTCCGAATAGGTGGATCGGACGTAATAGACCCGAAGCGTGGCCTCCGCTATCTCCAGACTTAACACCATGTGATTTTTTTCTTTGGGGAGAAATGAAACGCTTAGTGCACAAAACTGAAGTATAGTAAGTGACATATAAATCCGAACACCCAGTTTAAATGGTTTTATTTTAATAAAAGTTGGTGAATGTATTTATCTTACTGTAAATAACAAGTGAAAAAATGTTCAGCCTTTTCAGTTGGACATTCCGGTTTTTATACTGCTTTTTTTTAATTCACTAACGCTCTAAAAATGAATATTTCAGCCGCAGTAAAGAATCAACGTTGGCGGATTTTGGTTCTTGACATCCTTTACGATCCGTTACGATGCCTAGAGTACGGAGACCTGTACGATTTCGTCAACTTAGTGAGTTTGATAGGGGCCGTATCGTGGGACTTCGGGAAGCTGGACTTTCTTTTCGGGCAATTGCAGTTAGAGTGCAAAGAAGTGTAGACACTGTGGTTAGGTGTTGTCAGGCATGGCTTCGAGAAGGCCGTACGCAAAGAGCAAGGGGCACTGGACACCGCCATAGAACAACAGACCGTGAAGATAGCCGCCTAAGATTATTGGCCTTAAGGGACCGTTTCTCCACTACCAGGTCCATTGCAAATGAATGGTTTGCAGAACACGGAAGACCTATTGGCATGCGAAGTGTTTACCGACGAATGAGAAGTTTTGGCTTGCTTTCATACCGGCCACACTGGGTCCTCCCTTTAACTCGAGAACACCGACGTAATCGCCTTGAGTGGTGCAGACAACGGTCACTCTGGGATCAGGAATGGAACAGTATTGTCTTTAGTGACGAGTCTCGATTTTGTTTAGGCATGCACGATGGTCGTGCCAGGGTTAGAAGGCGACGTGGTGAAAGGAGGAATCCACAGTTTTTTGTTGAAAGACATGTTCATCACACTGTTGGAGTTATGGTTTGGTGTGCTGTAGCTTATGGTTCCAGGCCACCTTTAATCTTCATCAGAGGTAACATGAACGAGCAGCGTTATATCCACGAAGTTCTAGAACCACATCTTTTACCCTATCTTGACACCCTGGCAGATCCAACTTTCCAACAAGATAATGCCCGACCACATGTTGCAAGAGTCACAATAGACTTCTTTCAACATAATGATGTCACATTGTTACCATGGCCACCAAGATCTCCCGACTTATCCCCAATTGAGCTCATGTGGGATATGATGGGTAGGAGATTGCTCAATTTGCAACGTCCTCCTCAGACTCTAGAAGCACTTCGAGAGGAGTTGGTGGTTGCCTGGAATGAGATACCACAGGAGGATATTGACCACCTGATCAGAAGCATGCCTAGGCGCGTTGGAGAATGCGTAGCACATCAGGGTGCATCCACACATTATTAAAGGTCAAAGGGCTTTAAAGCAGTGCAATCATTTTGAAATTTTTATCATTTGCTTATTATGCTTCATTAAGTACTTATACAAAATTTTATTAAAATAAAACCATTTAAACTGGGTGTTCGGATTTATATGTCACTTAGTATACATACGGTTGACGAACTTCGTCTCAGAATTGAACAAGCTGGTGCTTTCATTCGGGGGAGGGACTCCATTCTCAAAGCCTGCACCGATGCTTGGCTACGTCGTGCACGCACCTGTGTTTTTGAATCAAACGGCGATAACTTCGAACAATACATATAAAGCACGTTTACCTAAAAACTGAAAACGCGGCAATGCCGTCATATTTGTTACCTCTGTTCGTGGTCTGCACCACCGACTGCTTATGCTCGGTAGCGCATCAGCTGATTTCATTTTCTGTTGGAGCGGTATGATTTCGGGCAAAGACGTACTTAGCGCTTCTCGTCAACTGGAGAATGAGTACTTTTTCCTTTATTTTTTTTACTTGGTCGCCCTCGTTTCACTACACATTACCTTTGTTATTTCAAGGGTATATATATATATATATATATATACAAATATATATATATATATATGCGTATAATCACGTTGTGTTCAACTCTTCTTACATGAACCAGTTATACTCCCCCTTCAAATTCACACCCGCTGAACAAAATGAGTCATCTCATAACTGGTTATATCAAAAGATATTTCTCAACATCTAATTAGTTTCCCTCAACCCCACGCTGTTAATATAAATAATAGGCCGAATTTTCTCGCTAGCAAGCGCAGGTCCTGGTAGATGTATTACTTCTCATGTAAATTAGTGTTGGCGGAGAGCATGGATCCGAGATTTCACTAATTAAAGAAGGTCACCACGAATCGTGTCTCTGAATTCAATTATCTACTGAAATTAGCATCTTCCAAGGGCCTGTAACGTAGACGTTCTATTGAGAACTTAGGACAATAGTTCGTTAAGATGGAGCTCCTGGAATTCGGAGCTAGAATGCACTGGATGTAAGCGACAGCACCATGGCCGTGCTCGTGATGTGTGGAGTTGGAGTCAAGTTAATGGGGTTATCGCATGCATGAGTTATACCGGCACACACACATGTATTTCGTATCTTGAAAAGTGACATTTGTTGTTTGTTTTTACATTGTATTGGTTCTGATGTGAGGAAAGATCTGCTTCAGAGATGACATTACTGGAGGTCTAAGCTGTACGTTGTATACTATAGCTAGAAGGGAACGGCAATGCATAGGTGCATAATGAGGATTTGAGTGCTAATAATATGTGTTTAGGATAATTCCATTAGATTTTTGTCTCAAATACACTTACTTGAGATTCAAAGCTAGAAATTCGTTGCGCATCAACTTTTTCTTAGCCACTCTGGAAATTGGATATGCAAATTTGTTGTATTTAAAAAATGAGAGAGGTAAGAAATAATTATATTCACTGTACACTGTCGAATTGCACGTTATATACTCGTACATGCTAACTGTAATTAAAACACAACGCGGGCACGGTGGTGATTTCCCGTAATTCTCCTCAAAGTTTTTGAAAACACAAAAAATTGTAAAAATCATAATTTAAAACTTTGAACATAATCTGTCTTCAGAAAGGACACCATATAAATAACCCGTCGGCACAGCTAATAGATATACTTCATTGGCAGCATATTCAGTAATGATTTTCTTATACAGCAAATATGCAGACCAATACACACAATCATCCAGATGCGATGTTGCTATTCAACCAACTTCCTTCTCAGAGATGGAAACTACAGACTACTCGGCTTCGCAAAACATATGCAACCGACAATGCGTGCAGTTGAGCCATTCCTCCATAGACGGACGCTCACAACGATCCTAGTGAGCAAACGTGGAATGACTGTTTGTACCATAAGAACTAAGAGGTCTGCAAGATGACATCTAATAGGTCTTTTTTGACGATTT